TCAGGGCCCAGGTAAGTAGTGTGGCAGGAGTGCTGCCAGAAGAGGGGCAGATGCCTTTTTGACCTGCCGGGTGGCTGCCAACCTTTGTGCCATCCCCTCCCTGCCACACACAAAGAAGAGGTAGACAAGGCGGTCCTGCCAATCGCTTCTGGCCCCTACATCCTGTGGTACATGGTAATGGCCATTGGCCCTTCCTGCCATCAAGGCCCCCTATCCTGAAAATCCTGCAGACGGAGTCTGGAGCTGGACTTGCTACTTTGATTGCTTTTGTTAAAAACAAAAGAGGAAGAGGGAGAGGGGGCTGGTTCAGCCTCGAGACACCCCATTGTGAGAGCTGTTGTCTTTGGCTGTGTCCCCACAGCAGCCCCGAGGCTCAGCTCACATTCTCTAGCACCTGGTCCTCCCTTTCCCAGCCTGTTCCCAGCCAGCAGTCCCCCAGCCCCCAGTAAGCTCCCTGTCCCCAAGCCGGCAGGGTCTGTGGGGGGTGGGCGGGGCTGGTCCAGGCAATGCCCAGACTCGGATTGCTTCCTTGCAGGTGGCTTTCCGTCTTGATTTTGAATTCAGCAAATCCATCTTCCTGCACCACCTGGAGATCCAGCTCGCTGCAGGCAGGTCAGGGCCGTGACTGCTCCTTCTCCCCCAAGCGGGTTACTCCGGGGCCCAGCTCTCTGGCTGCTAGCAGTTGCTCCTCCCAGCACCAAATGCTCCACCGATGTCAACCCTGTCCCTCACTGCCCCAACCATGGGTGGAGGGAATAGGGTGGAGAAGTGGGCCGGGATCTGTCCCAGGTGTGGGCCAACCTCCTGCCCCCTGTGCTGCCACCACTATTCATTCTTTGGATGATAAATAACGTCAGCCCCTTACTTTTAGACAGCCCTATATACAGCAGAAATTCACAAACCCTATGGTTATAAAGCACGGTACAGGCAAAAATCCCAGTCCTCACAGTGGCCTCTTAAGATCAGCAAAGGAGGGGTTATTCCCCACCCCATCCTTCAAGTTAAGAAAAGAGGTTCAGAGAAGGTGAGTGAATTTCCCAAGGACACACAGCAGTAAATTGTGCGGCAGGAAGCTGAATGCTAGTTGTCCTATTTCCCATCCAGGGCTCTTCCTCCCTTAGTCACCTCTCTCTTTCCATTTTTAAGAGGCCTTTTCTTCCTCTGTGTGGGTCTTCCTGTCTGTCTCCCAGGTCTCACAGCGGTAGCTTGCTATATGTGGACACCATGAATCACTTTGTGTCAGTAGTAAATACATTTCTCTTTTGCAGAATTACCTCTGGGTGGGGAAGGAGGGAGGGATTCTGTCCACTCTGGAGCCTTATAAATGGCCCAAATCCTTAGCTAAGATATAAATACTAGCCGGACGCGGTGGCTCACGCCGGTAATCCCAGCACTTTGGGAGGCCGAGGCAGGTGGATCACGAGGTCAAGAGACCGAGACCACCCTGGTCAACATGGTGAAACCCCGTCTCTACTAAAAATACAAAAAATTAGCTGGTCATGGTGGTGCGTGCCTGTAATCCCAGTCCAGGGATAAATGATTCTACTCTGAATTCCCCACTGTGCCTCGTCTGTGGGCAGAGCCTTTGCCGCAGGTAATGTCTCTCACAGCCCCTGAGAGTCCAAGCAGCAGGAATGGCCCACCTGACAGACAGGGCGGCCCAGTGAGGAATCACACAGGCTGGCAGTCTGGTCCATGCCAGACCAGGCACAGGCCTCCCAACTCCAGCCCAGGCACAGGCCTCCCAACTCCAGCCCAGGCACAGGCCTCCCAACTCCAGCCCAGAGCCCTCCCCTGACTCCACCTAAAGGGGCAGCAGGGAGAGCTGGTGTCATTCATCCCCACCTCAGGCCCTTCCTCTCCTAGGAGATGCCTCAGGTTCCCTGGCTGGCCAGTCTGGTGCCCATCGGCCTGATAAGCCAGCGTGCTCCTTCCTCAGCCGGCCTCAGACCCTTCTTGCATCTGTGCTGGCTGAGCTGGGTATAGATGGGAGGGCCCCTTCCCAACCCTGCTGACTGGCTCTCCTTGCAGTGACAGTAACGAGCGGGACAGCACCAAGGAAGACAACATGGCCCCTCTGCGCTTCCACCTCAAATATGAGGCTGACGTCCTCTTCACCAGGTGGGCCAGGCCTGGGGGGTCCCAGGAGAGGGAAGGGATGGGGAGTGGGAAGAGGGGGCACTCTCTGATGGCCCTAATAGGGCCAGACCCCAGCACTAATGGACTATGGATGGAGCCAAGTGTGTCCCTGATGAGTCAGAGAGTCCAGCCTCCCCCATCCAGTGTGGGAAGGGGGTATCAAAGTAGAGGAAGGAGGAGACACAGGCCTGGCCCTGGGGAGCACCCAGCGGGGGCAAAAAGGGAGGGGTGCAGTGGGAGGTGTCCACCCCTGGCACTGGCAACAAGTGAATGCATGGCCTATAGAGTTTTGCAGTATCATACGTATCAGAAGTCAATCTGCTTTTTATGATCACCTTACGCCAGCACATCTAAACAACCTCAGTGGGAAAAGACTCTTCCCCAAGGGACAGACTGCTCCCACCCCCAACCCTTTGATCTGGCCCCTGATCTGACAGAGGAAACAGCCCCTGTCCTCTGAGAGCTCACAGGCAGATGGAGAGGTCAGGGCGGAACAGCAGATACGGAAAGGAAGCTCAGGCCCTCCCACGCCAGCCATCCCCAAGGGTGGAAGGGGGCACAGTGGCATGGTCACCCCAAAAAGCGGCTACAGCCCTAGGCAGAGAGGCTGGGCCAGGGGTGAAATAACTGGCTCTTCTGACTCACGCCCACCCACACGAGGCAGACATTGCTCACAGATAGCAGCATAGCAGCGTTGTTGATTCCTGCTGAGGCTCAGAATCCTTCCAAGCGACACTCTCAACCAACACAAGAGGGAACCTGTTTTTTTGTGGCCCTGCGGAGGCCGGCACCTGCCCTCTTCCCTTTCAATCATCTGTCCATCCGGCCAGCACTGACTGAGCTCACGATGGCCCTGTCCTCTGTCTCTGCAGGAGCAGCAGCCTGAGCCACTACGAGGTCAAGCCCAACAGCACGCTGGAGAGATACGATGGCATCGGGCCTCCCTTCCACTGCGTCTTCAGGGTAAGGCTGGAGGCGAGCCGGTGGAGAGGGAAGGATGGGATCTGAGCAGCCCCATCCTGAAGGGGAGGAATGTGGAACCATCACTAGTGCCCAGGCTCAACCTTGCCACCCACCCACTGTGTGACTTTCGGCAAGTCACTTCTCATCTCTGGGCCTCTCAGTCTTCTGAAAAACAACTGGACTGCAGTAGAGGATATATCGGTGAAGATAAGGTGTGGCTGCCTAAAATTCTTAAAACTTTTTTTAAAAACAGTGGTTTAGGCCAGGTGTGGTGGCTCACACCTATAATCCCAGCACTTTAGGAAGCCAAGGCAGGTAGATCATGAGGTCAGGAGTTCAAGACCAGCCTGGCCAAGATGGTGAAACCCCGTCTCTACGAAAAGTACAAAAATTAGCTGGGCATGGTGGTGGATGCCTGTAATCCCAGCTACTAGGGAGGCTGAGGCAGAGAATTGCTTGAACCCAGGAGGCAGAGGTTGCAGTGAGCAGAGGTGGCACCATTGCCCTCCAGCCTGGGCAACAGAGTCAGACTCCATCTCAAAAAAAACAAAACAGTGGTTTAAACAAACTAGGGTTTACTCTCTCCCATAAAAGAAATCCAGATTTGGCAGCTTCACAAAGTCACCCAGGAGTGGGTCTTCTATGCTACCATCCTCAGGGTGAAGTAACCAGCCTCCAGTTGCCTCGCAGTACAAGATGGCTGCAGCTCCAGTCATCACGTTCTCATCTCAGGCAGCAGGAAGGAGGAAGGGTGCATGCTCCTTCCTTATCAAGGGACCTCCCTGGCAGTTCCTCACTCTTCCAGTGACCTCTCTCCATCCAAGAAGTTGTGATTGAGCCGTAAGGGAGTCTGGAAAATGTTGCTTTTTTTCTCAGTTCTGTCACTAAGAGGGAGAATGAGCATTAGGAAGCAATTCAGCAGCCTCTGCTATAGTGGGCCCTGATAGCTTCCCCAACCCTTAACTGCTGTAAGCTTATCAACTTCTAGTATGCTGTGTGAACACTGAGGGCAGGCTGACAGCCGGATACTGGACTTCAGACACACTGAGCCCTGCCTGGCTTGTTCGAGAGAGGTCTAGTAAGCTGCCCAGGGCCACACAGCTCATAGGTGACAGCAGCAGGCCCAGGACTGGATTCCTGGTCTTTCTGATTCCGAAGCCCTGCTTAGAATCACTGCTACTCTGGCACTGAATGGGCACTGCTAGAACATGAACAATCGCACACTCGCGATTTAGTAGCATATCCTTTGTTAATTAATGGTTCCCTTTCATCATACATTAATTGCTGTCACCATCTTCACCCTTGGCCTCAACAAAATCCACCCCCAGCCAAGAGTTGAAAATGGAGGCGGCCCCTGCTCTCCGGCCTCAGTATCCCCAGTGACTTGTCTTCAGCTTCCAGCCACCCACCCCCTTTCAAGGTTCTCTTGCACTCATCAGGGCAGTCCCTGATTTGTGCCACAATTTGACAGGGTTTAGGAGCTTTCACAGCGAAAACACCAGGAGCCTTGAGTGGGCCTGTTCTCCAGGCCTGGCTGGGGGAATGGCCACTCCCAGCAGCTGGTTAGCCCCTGTGGACCTTGTTTTCCACCCCCTTCAATTTACCTGTACTGACACCTCCCCATCTCCGGCCACAGATCCAGAACCTGGGCTTGTTCCCCATCCATGGGGTGATGATGAAGATCACCGTTCCCATCGCCACCAGGAGTGGCAACCGCCTGCTGATGCTGAGAGACTTCCTCACCGAACAGGTACCGATGTCCTTGGGAGCCGGCTCAGCAGAGGGGACCGGAAGGAGACACCCCCCTACCCGCCACGTGTATCCCCAGGTTCCCAGACCCCAGCTCCCTTCTCGCAGGGCCATGGCTAGAGGAGAAGAAAAGAAACATCTCTGGGAGCTGGTTGTAAGGCTGTGTGTGGGTGTCCTTTATTTAGATGAACACATCCTGTAACATCTGGGGAAACAGCACTGAGTACCGGCCCACCCCAATGGAGGAAGACTTGAGTCGTGCTCCACAGCTGGTGAGTGTCCCCCAGACCAAGAGCCACAGTGGTTGGGGTTAGAGGTGCACTAGCACCTTTGCTCCGGGGGGCCATTTCCCTCCTGATCCAATAGCTTGTCAATTAGGAGCTTACTGAGCCCCAAGCCAAGAAAAAGCTGGAGGAAAAGACTTGTTGGCCTATGTGAGTCCCCCCATCTCACAGGGAGTGGGGGAAACACACACACAGTGAGAGCCTGAGGAGCCAGGGTCACAGCCTGTGGAGTGTCAGGCAAACAAGCAGAAAGGGGTGGGAATGGTGGACTTGCACCTGGGCCAAGCAGGCTGGTAGGATACAGAGAAGCAGAGAGAAGGGGAAGAAACCAGAGGCAAGCAGAATACACACATATTTGGCCACATCAAGCTGGGGCCTCCTGACCTGGAGATGGAATGCAGATCAGCCTCAATTTCCAGAGCCTTCCCAAGACACCTGCTCATTTCCAGTGTGCATTCTCAGGGTTGCCCCTGCCTCCAGACACCAGATTCTCAGCCCACTTCCACTGTTCTTTACCTAGGCAACAATCTTAGCTGTTTATTTCCCCAAAACAAGTGCCTCCCACAAAGCACTGATGGGGGTGGTGTGCTTTACCAGAGATTTGGGCTGAGCTGGGGTTGGGGTGGGCAGCAAGGCAGCTACACTAGTAACTTTCACCTAATGTATTCTAATTGTTTGAACGTTTGTTTGGGTTTCCCATCGTTAGCTTCTCCATTTAATCCTTTCAAACTGACATCTTATCCTTCTTGGTGCCTCTAACTAGATCCTGTTCGCAGAGGTTACAAGTTAGTACGAGTTTACTTTGGTGAAGAGTTCTGGGATCCATGCATAGCTTTTTCATAATACATGTGAACTTGAGGAAGACCCCTTTTATTGGATTCAGGAAGTTCTCTGGGAGGTTTTTTTTTTATCATGAACAGAAGTTGGACTTCCTAAAATACTTTTTCTGCATCTGCTGCAGCGATCAAATAATTTTTTTAGTTTTATGCGTTTATATGGTGATGGGAAACATTTATAGATTCCCTAACGTTGAACCAAAGTTCTGTTCCTAGAATATACCCAGGCCGGTCATGATGCACAGCTTCAAGGAGCATCAGCTATGCCATCCTTCATTTGTCTTTCAGTCATCCCCTGGCAGGCATAGGACACATGTCCCCCACTCCCAGCTCTGTCCTCATCCCCCGTCCTCTGTCCCTGCCCCCAGGAACAGAGCCCCAGTTGTTCAAGCAGAGCTGCCTCCCCCTGCTCCCCCTAGCCCAGCAGCTCAGCCCTGAGACCCATCCTCTCTTTCAGAATCACAGCAATTCTGATGTAGTCTCCATCAACTGCAATATACAGCTGGCCCCCAACCAGGAAATCAATTTCCATCTACTGGGGAATCTGTGGCTGAAGTCCCTAAAAGCAGTAAGTAGAGCCCCTGCGCTGGGCCAGAAGGAAAAGGGGGTGGCTATTGGGATGTCTTCCACCTGGGGAGGGAACGGGAAGAAAGGCTTCCAGGCCAGCTTCCAACCAGGCCTCTGATTGCACAGCTCAAGTACAAATCCGTGAAAATCATGGTCCACGCAGCCTTGCAGAGACAGTTTCACAGCCCCTTCATCTTCCGTGAGGAGGATCCCAGCCGCCAGGTGAGTCCCTGGGAGCCCTGCAGAACCAGGCTGAGGCCGGACAGCTTGGGAAGGGGTTTGCCGATCCTCTAGAGTTTTCTACAACCTCTGGCCGCCTGTCCCAGCAGGAGAGAATCAGGCAGACCTGGGGGCTGTTAGGGCAGCCGCTGAGGAGAGGGGGAAAAAGCAAGACAAATGGGTCTTCCGGGGCAACACTAGGGAAGGGCCAGAGGTCTGGGGTGAACTGAATTTGTCAAGACCAAAGGATTCCTCTGAGATTCCTCTTTTTTAGTTGGGTAAAACCAGATTGTTACAGATCACACTGGCTTCCATCAGGGTCTAGGAAAGGAGTGAGGCTCTGTGTGAGACCCAACGAGAAGTGAGGCCTTAAAGAAAAGCCTATTCCTGGAAGAAGTGGCAAAGGAAAAATAAATAAATTTGTAAAAGAAAGCAAGCCAGCAAAACCCAGTCCTATCGAAACAGGGCAGCTGGGCGTGGCACACTGCTGCCCTCCACTGGCCATACCCCAGAAATGCCAGCCTGGGCTCCAGGCAAATGTTTCTGTTACAGAGGCAGAGTAAGCTCCCAACCCCACCCCAGAGAGATGCTGGAGAGCAAAGAGGCAGGCAGGGTCAGGAAATAGCCCTTATAAAACAATTCACCAAAAACCAATCACAACCAGGGCGGGGGGATGCCAGGCAGAGGGGTATCGGGACCCACCCAGGAGCTTTTTTGTTGGGTATCCTGCCTACGACTCCAGACCCAAAGGGTAACCAGAGATGAAATAGGCAGACAGGGAAACAGTGACAGTAAGTGGGTATGTGCAGTCTGAGAACAGGCACGGGCCTGGGGGAAGCGGTTCAGCGTGAGAGATACCCTCCCAAAGCTTTCTGGAGGCAGTTTGTTTGAACTGAATCTTGAAAGATGCTGGAATGTTCCAGGCATCCAAGAGAGGAGAGATGTGGTACAGGCACTGCCCTACATACCCTGCTCTCTCTCACACAGACACACACACACACACAAACCTTCTTCCCACATTGATGCTTGTCTTTTAGGTGACTTCCTTCTTCTGCCCCCCACCCAACCCCCCAAAAAACTCCTCTTATACTCTCTGGATGCCTCACTTCTCTTTTAGAAATCCAGCAACCCTGAAATTAAGCCCCTGTATGCTGGGCTCTGTGCTAGGTGCCGGCACTGGGGAGGCAGAGCCAGGTCCCCGTCTTGAGGGACAGAAAGAGCGCACGTAAGGGCCCTGCCACTTGCTGGCCCCTAGCTGTGTGCCGAACACAGTGACAGACCTCACAACACTGTGAGCCGCTGTCCCCACCCCCATCTCTCAGGTAGGCACACAGGCATGTGAGATGAGACAAGAGGGGCAGGGACTCACCTCAAGTTGAACATCGAGTCAGCACCCAAAGCAGGGCTCTGTCTGCTTCTGCGGGTGGTCGTTTCACTCCATATGTTAGCTGAGCTCCTGCTGTGTTCCAAGTATGGAGGATAGAGCAGGGACAAAACAGACAAAACCCCTGCTCTCCTACAGCTGACATTCTAGGTGCGCAATAAACATGAACATAGGCATCAAGTGGTCATAAGGGCCGTCCAGAAAAAGGCACACAGATAAGGGTTAAGTGCCAGGGGGTGCTGTTTTATTCAGGGAGTTGGGAAAAGCCTCTCCAATAAAGTGACATCAGACAGAGACCATGAGGAAGACAGGACTGTCTCGTGGCTGTGTGAGGGAAAGCCTTGCAGGCAGAGGGAATAGCGATGCCTGCAGCAGGCATGCCATGGCGTGCATGTAGGAGGCCAGGCACCTGGAGGCCGGAGTAGGGCGAAGCAGAGCAGCAGGTAAGGTCAGCAAGACAGGTGGGACCCAAGAGCGGAGGGGAGCCAGCACTGCACTTTTTACGCTGAGCGAGCTTGAGCAGAGCAGAGCAGAGCACAGTCCTGCCTTCCTGGTTAGAAGGATCCCTCTAGCTGCTGTGCTGAGAACAGACTGCAGAAGGGAGACAGTCAGGTGGCGGGTGGTGGTGCAGTCTCTAGAGATGTGAGGATGCTCAGGCCCGGGAGGCGGAGGAGTGGCCACATTCTGGGTGTTTCCAAGGTCAAGTGGACAGATCTTGCTGCTGGACTGTGTGTGGGTGTGAAAGTTAGGGTCAGTGATGGATACGTGGTTTCTGGCCTGAGCAGCGAGGAGGGATGGTGCTGCCATTTGCTTGGGTGAGAAAGAACTGGAAGGAGCAGGCCTGGGGTACAGGCCTGCGACAGTTGCCAGGCAGGCAGGAGACAGTATGAGTCTGGGAAATGTGCGTGCAGTCAGAGTACAGAGAGTGAAAGCCACAGGAATGAGGGAGCTGGCCTGGGGTTGCTTTCTAAGCTTCGAAGCCCTGGCCACTTTTGCCTTTGGGGCACCTTCCCCATAGGAAAAAAAATATTACAAAGTATGGTATATAGCCAGGCGTGGTGGCTCACGCCTGCAATCCCAGCACTTTGGGAAGCTGAGGCAGGCGGATCACCTGAGGTTGGGAGTTTGAGACCAGCCTGACCAACATGGAGAAACCCTGTCTCTACTAAAAATACAAAATTAGCCAAGTATGGTTGTGCATACCTGTAATCTCAGCTACTCAGGAGACTGAGGCGGGAGAATCACTTGATTCCGGGAGGCAGAGGTTGCAGTGGGCCAAGATCATGCCATTGCACTCCAGTGTGGGCACCAAGAGTGAAACTCCGTCTAAAAAAAAAAAAAAATTATGATTTATAACTGTGCTGGCATCAAGAAGAAAAATGTTATCCCAGGTAGAGTCTATTCCATTTTTTCCTCTGACTTTAAAAGAAATGTAAACATTTTCATGGTCTCCTAAAAGTGTTACAGGCCTTGCCACCACGCCTGCTGTGAATCGTGGGAAAGTCAGCCCTGAGTTCACCCAGGGGGCAACTCTAGAAAAAGAAGGGGTGCAAGGACTGAACCATGGGATGCACCAACCGTTAGCAGTGCAGGAGACCATGTGGAGGCAGCAAAGGGAGGAGGAGTAGCCCATGTGGTGGGAGGAGGATCCAGGGAGTGTGGGGGGCCTAAGGCCAAAGGCAGCAAGTGTCTCAAGCAGGCAGGATCAACTGCGCCACCGAACCCCGTGCTGGCTGTGCAGGTGCTGGTTGCCCTGAGGCCTCAGTTTGCCTGTTCACCCATCCTTCTGGCATTCCACTGGGGGGCCCCCACCAGGCACCAGCTGTCTGTACCCTCCTGCCCCTCCCAGGCTGCCACCCCAGCCCCAGAACAGTAATGCTGTTGGCCTGGCCCCCACCCTTGCAGATCGTGTTTGAGATCTCCAAGCAAGAGGACTGGCAGGTCCCCATCTGGATCATTGTGGGCAGCACCCTGGGGGGCCTCCTGCTGCTGGCCCTGCTGGTCCTGGCACTATGGAAGGTGAGGGCCCCTGCAGGGGAGGGAGGGAGCAGCATCCTGGCTGGGGGGCCCAGGCTCCAGCCCCTGGAACTTTGTGGCCACTGCCATGTTCTGTTGAGGGGAGCTGGCACCCTTCCCCTCACCACAGAGGGCACCCAGGCTATGGCTGTGACCTGGTTGTGGGTGCCTTTGAGAACCTGATGAAAACTAAGGTCCCTATTATTAGAGGGGAAAAAAAACAGGCACTAACAACTGCAGAAAATATCTTCAACATTTTCAAGCTGTTAACCCCCCAAAGTTCATCTCTGTCCCTGAAGCTCTGGTTACAAAACCCTGGTCTCAGCCTCCTAATGTTACAGATGGAGGCCAGAGAGGGCTGCTGGGTGGGGCTGGTCACACAGCAAGGTTGTGGGAGCCAGCATGACTTCTTACATGCCCCGCAGGGCCTCATCTACTCTGTTCCAGTCCACAGAGGCAGTTCTGGAGGAGGGGGTGCTCAGAATGAGCTGGGCTACTCAAGGAAGCCCCGAGGGAGGAATCCTGAGGAAGGGTAGTAGAGGGACAGCAAGGGCAGACCTTGTCCACCCTATCCACCTCTGAGACATCTCCCTTTGCCTCCTCACAGCTCGGCTTCTTTAAAAGTGCCAGGCGCAGGAGGGAGCCTGGTCTGGACCCCACCCCCAAAGTGCTGGAGTGAGGCTCCGGAGGAGAATTTGAGTTGATGGGGGCCAGGACACCAATCTAGGTGGTGTGCAGGCCCAGGCCTGCGGCCCCACGGAGCTGGAGCGGAGAGGAAGCCAGCTGGCTTTGCACTTGACCTCATCTCCTGAGCAATGGCACCTGCTCCCTCCAGAATGGAACTCAAGCTGGTTTCAAGTGGAATCGCCCTACTGGGAGGCTGGGACTCCTTCAACACAGATCCCTAGGGATTTAAAGGGACATGCCCACCCCAAGTCCTCCCTCAAACTCTGTGGAGGGCATTTGCTGCCCCAGCTACTAAGGTTCTAGGAATTCGTCGTCATCCCCATCCTCCAGAGGAAGCCAGGGAGGAAGGCTGTAAATACGAACTTAATCTGCACATTCCAGGTCTCTAAGTCCAGAAGGACCCAAGACAGAACAGATCTAAATTCTGGCCTTTTCTCTCACCCTTCCACCCCTCCATTAGCTCCCAGGTCTCACCCACCCCCTTCCCCATAGATAGTCCCCAAGGCTCCCCAAGAATGAACCCAAGCCCAAGGGCTTGATGGTGATAGCCGAAAGCCCGGGATGAGGAAAGACTGAGATGCAGAAACTGATAGCCAGGCAAGTGGGACCAGGATACCAGGCACTGCACCCACGTGCATTTGCATTGACCACAACTTTCACGTTCCCGCACCAGCCCCTTGCTCTCAGCTGGCAACCCTCCCAGGTACCTCATGGGAAGCATGTGGATGACACAACCCTGGGGCTGTGCATTCCTACATGTCTTCTTGCTGCAGCCTGCCCCTAGACATAGACACACTGGCCCGGCTGCAGCTGGGCAGCAAGGGTAGGGTGGGGAACCTCCCTTCCCTGTATCACCCCTTCCCTATAAACACACCGCCTCCCATCCTTCCCTTATGCCCACCAGTGCAAAGGGAAGGGCTTGGCCAGCGCTGTTGAGGGGTCCTCTCTAGAATGCACTGAATAAAGGACTCCCAGAGCCTGCGCAGTCTCGGTGGCAAATATCTCATCCACCGGCCCCAAGGACAAGGGGCATGCCTGGTGCCCAGCGGAGTAATTTATGCCTATGCCTTAACCTTGTTTTGAGGTAGAAAGGGGGACACATCAAAGGCATCTGTCCCCGTGCACAGTACGACCTTTACTGTCGTAAATATTTTTGAAAAATTAAAAATACAGTGTTTAAAAACAACCAAGCACTGACATCCCATTCTGCGGGCAGAGCGCATCAGTGAGCTACACCTACCTTTGAAGGAGAGGAAGTAGATGAGGGGTTCCTTGCTTCCTTCCCTCCTACCTCTACATGTCAGAAGGGTCTCATCCACCATCTGCTGCCCACATCATGCCCTCCAAGTAGCTGGCTGGCCTCCATGTGACATCTCCAGTGGGAAGTGCTCTCTCCCCCAAGATCGCCGTTCCATCTTTGGCCTGTGTGGACGGTTAGGAACCAAATGTTTCACTGTAGCTACCCCTCCTTGCTTCCAGCTCTTCCCTCACGTGCCTCCCAGACTTCTCCAGGCCAGTTTCGTTGTTAACCCTCTTACCCTCTGACTTTAACCAAGGCATCTCCATTCTATTCTTGTGCCGCTCACATCTTCGAATCCCAATTGGTAGAACCTTGGAAATTATTTGATCTTGTTTTTGCATAAATGAGGACACTCAGAACCAGAGAGAGCCCTAGGCTCCCACAGTAAAACCTAGACTAAACCCAAGACTGCTGTCTCCCAAGCCAGATTCTGTCATTCAAGCCCAGCCTCAGAAGGGCTTGATGCAGAGCAAAAGGTGAAAATGGTGAAACTAAAATTTTAGTATCAAAATCCATTGCCTTCTAACAGAATCAGAAGGAATTACTGTTAGATCATATTCCATTTCAGTCATCACCCTTATGAATAGGGTAACCTGGCTAAATGAGAATTAATGAACTCACACTCCCATGTGCATGGTTTGATTTAGCACCAAGTCTTTATCAGATACCATCAGATCTGAGAGAATGCTCATATGAAAAACCTAATTTTTAGAGGTTGGCATTCATACTTTTAAAACAGCCACCTGTGACCACACTGCAGGCCAAACAGAATGTACCTGGTCGTCAGATGCAGCCCAGAGGCCACACTGATTGCTACCTCTGGACTCATGGTCAGAGGCAGGCAGCCCTTATTCCAGAACTCCACGGTCCCTTCACACCCTTCCCCAGACCTACACCAAGACCAACCAACTGGTCAAAAGGTGGACAAACTGAGAGTTCTACCAAGACCTTTAGCCTCTCAATTTCTCTTATCAATTCTCCCTTTGTAACCCTATTTACTCTGAAATATAAATGTCCCAGATGAGCCTTAAGAGTGCCTGGTAGGGCAAACAACTATGTATCTTATAAGGAGCAAAGTCTATGCTAACACAGTATGTCTCAATCCTGGCTGCACCTTAGAACCATCTGGGAGCTTTAAAAGTGACCACTGCAAGGGCCCTACCCACTATGGATTCTGATTTCATTGGTAGGGAGAGGGGCCAAGTTTGTTTCCAACTTACCCAGGTGACTCTAATGGCTGAGCATTGCAATTAGCAGGTGAATGAATATCCAGGCTAGAAGATGAAGAAACGGGGGTTCACAGGCACAGGTTCTATGAATACCAGAAACTTGTCTTCAGTGTCATTCAGGTTAACAGGGCTGTAGCCTGGAGTCGGGAAGGGCTTCATGTTACATACAGCACATCTTCAGAGAATTTGGTATAGATTTTGCCCAGTTTTCCAGGATCCTCCAAGCCCCCAAGGGGGACTTAGAGGGGCTGAACCACAGTCTCTAAAGACAATTTTGGCATTTAGAGGCAAGGAGCCCAAAGTGCAAGATCAAATCAATATTAAAATTCATACTGTGGGTCACAGATTAATGTTAACAGCAATCTGTTAAGAATAATGATGGAGCTAAGGGTTACACTCTGTGTTCACAGAAAACAACCACTTCAACAAAACTGTCTTTTAAAAGCATTATTGGCCCATCCCCCCAAAAAAGACCAAAAAAAGACAAAACAAAAATAAAAGCATTATTGGCCCATCCTAGACATCACTCTAAACAAGCTGCTTTGATTTCCTGTGGCCATGTGACACTTAAGAAATTCTGCAGCAAACTTAAGTGCACTGGAGAAAAACATACTTGGGCACAAAATCCCCAACAGATAATGGTTTTAGAATTTGGTCCTTGGATTGTCAGGATTTCTAAATCCTAGGCTCACCGGATAGCACAGGAGACAGACCTCCTCAGGGAATTGTGCGACGAGACATGCAAGATGTCCTGGGTGACTTCACAGGTGGCTCCTACACGGTGGGCCAGCAGAGTCCTATCTGCATGAGCCCCTATGCATCGGCTGGGGCAGGTCCTCAGAGAAGACAGAGGCTGGCGGGCAGACCTTGTGTAGATGCAAGAGAGGCCTCTGTTCCGTGTTCTTCAGGGAAGTGGATATCGATTAGGGCAGTTCCAGACAGCTGAGAGCTAGAAAAGAGAAATCTTGGCAAGCATGTCTTGCTTCTGGCATTAGGTGGTGTGGGCATGCAAGCTTGGTGGGCAAAATGTGCCCCATAAAAAAAGGTATCTCTGCAGAGCTGAGCTTCTCAAAGAGTGGTCCCAGGACCACCTCAGTCAGACCACAGACTCCTAAGTTCCTCCTCAGACTTCACAGATCCAAGTTTATGTGTGCTAAGCACATTAAACTTATAGAACAGCCATCCGGATTTAATATGACATAGTAGCTATAACATTACAGTAATATTCTGCTATTCTCTTCTATTCAATATCAGTTTCCTACACTGTCAGGCCTAGCTTAGATGCCCTTCAGCTGCCCTTGGGCCTATCTTGGTGGCAGCCAGCAAAGATAATCAGCAAAAAGCCCAGTGGAGTTTCTGGGTTTTACTTCTGTTAAGGAAGGTGATGTTTCTTAACAAGACAGGTATCTAGGTGGAAAGGGCAAAGTGCTAACGAAAACACAGCAGAGACAGTATGGAATCGCTCTGCCCAGGGAGATATGGAAAAGCTTCTGCGAGATGGTGTGGACCTTTCCAACCCTTGAGGTGTTTACAACATAAATTGCTACCTCCGCCGGGCGCGATGGCTCAAGCCTGTAATCCCAGCACTTTGGGAGGCCGAGGCGGGTGGATCACGAGGTCAACAGATCTAGACCATCCTGGTCAACATGGTGAAACCCCGTCTCTACTACAAATACAAAAAATTAGCTGGGCATGGTGGTGCGTGCCTGTAATCCCAGCTACTTGGGAGGCTGAGGCAGGAGAATTGCCTGAACCCAGGAGGCGGAGGTTGCGGTGAGCCGAGATCGTGCCATTGCACTCCAGCCTGGGTAACAAGAGCGAAACTCCGTCTCAAAAAAAAAAAAATTGCTACCTCCATCAGTATTCAAAAGCTTTTCAGCATCAAAATTGTCTGAGAATAAGACACTAGACTTGAGTCGGTACCCTGGCTTCAAGCCCAGGATGCCAAACAGCCTGTAATGGAGAACGCTGGCCTACTCATGCTCCTTTCCCGCTATCGTGACCCACCGCGCCCATGCCTCACCCCCAACACGCAGTCTCTGCACCACCCAAATGTGCCTTGGGTGGCTTAAATACAGCCATTAGCATGAATGGTCCCGTTTTTATTCAACACCACACTGGTCTGTGCTTTTACCTTCGGCTAATGTGGTTCCAGCCTTTTATTCTGCACTCATGATTAAAAAAAAAATTCCCAAACTATGTTAGTATTAACATCAACTAGGTTCTTCTCAAAGGACAGCCAGGCTAATAGGCCACATTAAAATCTGCAGTGCTTTTGTGTCACTGTCTATTATTCTATTAGCTTCAACATCATGCTAAAATAGGACAGCATGTTCCAAAACTGAAACTGAAACAGGAACACAGCCTTGCTGGTTTAGCATCAAGAGGGAATTAGAAGCCTTGTACCTGGACTCTAAAACCTTTGAAGAATGAATTCTAAACTGTACCTAGCAAACTTACCAGGTCCAAAGTAGACTACGAGCAGAAAGTTATTTTTAAAGGAGGGGCACTACTCCTTGAGGGACTTACCCTTTCTCGTCAGCTTTGCGTGGTTTGAGACAGTGTTCTGTTGCCCAGGTTGGAACGCAGCGGCACCATCACAGCTCACTGCAACCTCCACCTCTTGGGCTCAAGCAATCCTACCTCAGCTTCCCGAGTCGCTGAGACTATAGGCACACACCACCACACCCAGCTAATTTTTGTAGAGACAGGGTCCACCGTGTTGCCCAGGCTGGTCTTGAACTCCTGGGTTATCTCCCTGGCACTGCATTAAAAAAACAAGAGCAGCAACTTAATAATGTGTCTGAAATGTTTTCAGAAGATGGCCCAAGCCAAAGTCAAAGAATACCTTAAGTTTTTACTTGGTAAATTAGAGGAAATATAGAAAATCAAATTTCAAATAGGTGCATCTAACTGGAGAACAAGCTTATCAAGGACAGAGACCATTTTTTGTACTTTTTACTTTTGAGACAGGATCTCACTCTGTCGCCCAGGCTGGAGTGCAGTGGCACAATCACAGCTCCCTGCAGCCTCGACCTCCTGGACTTCAGTGATCCTCTCACCTCAGCCTCTCAAGTAGCTGGGACTACAGATGTGCACCACCATGCCCAGCTAATTTTTTTTTTTTTTATTTTGTGGAGAGAGGGGTATCACTTTGCTGCCCAAGCTGGTCTCCCTTATTTTTGTATGCATATCTGTGGTGCAGTGCCTGAAATATAGTACGTGTTCAGTAAGCACCAATTTCCGTGTCTTGCCATTGATTAAGGCAAAAGCAAAACTCCAGTCCTCCCCTCTGATGGACTGAGCATATCAAATTTTTAAAGCACAGGCAAATTAGAAAATATAATTTTGTCAAAACTTGCCAACAAGCTAAGGTTTTGTGAATGGCCTAAAACTTGCCTCTCTCATATTGAAATGTTCTAGGTCAAGTATCTGAAGGGACATAACTACTACCAGTATTTTCTTTAGCCTAGTCATCTGTATACAGCAGACATTACTTGAAACAAAGGACATGTTTTAAAACCCTTCTGGATGATTTCTGCAGTCTCGCTAGGCATTGCAGCCAGGGAGCAACTTGGCAGAGATCCGAAGGTGGCCTTCTCTAGTACTGGCGTCCCACAGTGAAAGGGCAGTGCTCCATGGGTCCAAAGACCCAGAGTGTACTCCCAGTTATGACACACTTAGGCCTTGTGTGGCCTTTCTGGACTTGTGTCCTGAACTGTAAAATGAGAGGACTGCACTAAATGTTTTTTTCAGATCTCTATAGAGACTCAGAATCTAAACTGGAAAACAAACATGTGCTGCAGGTGTGCTCCAATACCACCCTTTGATACTCTCCTGGCTATCTTAACCACCGTAATTAGGTACAGGAAATAAGAGCTGTGAATGCTGGAAATGAGAAGGCAAAATTATTGTTACTTGCAAATGATTCGTGTATCTGGGAAATCCAAAAGAAGTAACTGAAAAATTATTTCTAAAAAAAAGAAAAAGAAATCCATTACAGTGCCTTTGTAAAAACATTAATATTTAGAAGTACGTGTAACAATACAAACCTAGTAATCATAAACGGAAGATAGTTGTAAGACCTTCATTAAAAAGAAAAACCAAAAAAAAAAAAAAAAGAAAAAACCAACTCTGGATAGCAGTACGTAACTTACCTAACTACATATATCTTTCTTTTGGATTAAAAAAAAAAGTTCACAAGTGCACAACTATTCAGATGTCCCTAAATCTATTAATAGCTAAACAAAATAATCTCAACATGATAAAATGACACCAAATTTCATCTCGAAAAATAAACATAAAATACTGGAAAAAATTAGCTACTCCCACCTCCCCACTTAAAAAAGACAAAAGAAGAAATACTAGTCCAAGGCTACAAGTGGTGGCTCATGTCTGTAATCCCAACACTTTAGGAGGCTGAGGTGGGACGACTGCTTGAGCCCAAGTTCAAGACCAGCCTAGGCATCATGGAGAAACCCCATCTCTACAAAAAAATACCAAAAAATAATAAAAAGAAAAAAAAAAGAATTAGCTGAGCATGGTGGCACATACCTGCAGTCCCAGCTACTTGGGAGGCTGAGGTGGGAGGATCACTTGAGCCCAGGAGGCTACGGTAAGCCATGATTGCACCACTGCACTCCAGCCTGGGTGAGAGAGTGAGACCTTGTCTCAAAAAAACAAACAAATTATAGGAAAATCACAATTTTAAACCAAAGAAGAGAAGGAGAAAGAAGGGAAGCGAAGACATAAAAGTGTCTTATTCAAACAGATCATGGGTTAAAAAAAAATGTGTAACTTGCAACTAGGAACAGAGACAGCATTACAAGCAGGATATAAAACCATTTTTTAAATTGTGATAAATTTGACTATATACAAATGTAAACTTCAGATACAAAACTACCATATTTGAAGTAAATAAACTAAAACTATTACACGACAGAAAATGTCCTCAAACTTCTAAGGAACTTCTAGCAAGCAGTTTAAGAAAAAAAAAAAAAAAATCCACTGAAATAATGAAGACTGGTTAGTGATGCAAACGAAAAAAGAAAAAAAACCCGAAGCGAACATAGTCAACAAATTTATGAAAGTGTTCAACCCTTTTCATAATAAAGGCACACAAACCAAACC